ATTTTCAGCGAGCAAGGGCCACTGAGGAAAGAAAACACGCGAAAAAAACAAACAAACACAAAGAAACTTAACGTCGCGATAATGAAACAGCCCAATTCCTGTAGCGTACTCTGCATGCTGTCTCACGGCTTAATTTATCATTTCATGAAGTTCTTAACCCACACACAGGTTTCTGTTTTTAAATTTGTATGCAGTACTCATGCCGATGCCACTTGAAATATATGTCTATTGCCTTTCGGAAAACCTGTCGCACAACGTTTAACTCTACCTTTATCAAGGACACCAAGAGTACCGTAAGTCACCAGTCGGGAATAAGCAGCCGCTTGCTGGAGCGAACGCCAAGAAAAAACTGCATCAATAAGTTAGTGAATAAGAAATTCGATGCATCCAAATACATTTTGCGGCAAGCTCTTACAAAAGGAGATAATGCTTTTGAAAGTTGTGGTTTCTTAAAATTCTTTTTCTTAAACCTGGCAGAAGAGTATGCGGGATAAGCACTTTACTTATTGTATGTATCAGTGAAGAACACCCGGAATTGGGTGAAAGATCACAAATACAAATATGCCGGCTGCGTAAGGATTGACGAGACATGGCTGAGACAACTGATTCAAAAAAAAAAAAAGAAAGAAAGTCCCTCTTTTAGCTCATGGCTATAGAGTCCATATATATAGTCAATTGTCTATCGGTACATATAACTCAAACCCACATCCCAGGGAATTTATTACTTTTTGAACCAGTAGTCTCAGCCATGTCTCGTCAATCAATCCAGTTTAGAGGAGTTTACAATTTTTGCCATTAATCGCTGCAGAATTACAACAATCAGGGATTGGAGCGAAGTTATTTCTCCTGTGGCGTACTATTTCTCGTAACTGAATGAACATCACAATGGAGACTGTTGATATTTGTCTTAATCAAAACTCCAGTCTTAAAACAGTCGTGTTTTGTTTTTGCTTTTGTTTTAATTTCTTTGCGGCCCGCAAAGACACGGTGTCTTCTGCTAGCAGGTCCCTTACCTAGTGGTAAGTGGAATGAAAATACGCATATCAATTGGTTTTGAGACTAGTGTTATTTAGTGTTTCAGGGTGCCGGGATTGGAAGCGTTTGGAACACTACAAGGTCCTTATCGGTCCTACGGTAATGATAATTTGAACCCAATTTATCTTCGCTTTAGTTTATGAATTCCCTCGTGTGCTTGCGCTTTTAGTTCTTTGCGGTTTACCGCAAGATGAAAGGTGTTTGATATTGTGTTGCTACCTCTGCTGAAGCGATTTGTTGCATGGAAATAGGTGACGTACTTTAGTTAAACTTGTTTTGCTCTTTTATTCATTTTTAACGTTCTTTGCGTCATTTAGAAGAGTTGAATATTTCAAGACTGAACTTGACGTTGGCGTTTGTGTTTTCATAGAAACGGTATATGCGTCATTATCGAACTTTGCTCATAACTAATGTAACTGCATGTTGTTACTAATATTACTCTATACTAACAAAAGTAGAAGTTTGTTGTTTCTCTACTACAGCTCGTTAACTGTGGCACTATAATGAACATGTGCAGCTTGATCGTCAGAAAAGTTACTAGAAATGTCAAAAGAGCATAATCTTATTTAACTGGAGATTACACCAAAACATCAATGCAATACTATAAAATTATTGTGACGTGGCTTTTTCATACCATACGTATATTCCAAGAAGGAACATGAAATCAAAACTTTGACTTTTCAATCCGCTTCACCAATACAACCGCCTGTCATCTTTCCCAACAAGTTTGGCGTTTCGTGATCGATTAGGGTCAGATCTGACGGATTTGCGCGGGATATCTCAATTTCTAACTCTTCTGAGAATTTTGCCATTTTCCTTTAGTATGTTATTTTATTATTTACATTTTTTGCAACCAAGTACTTGAAACTGTCCCTGGCTCCATCAGGATATTTTCTTCAAGTGTACTGTGACAAGCTTGTGACTGTCTCTATAGGCTAGCTAAGGTTAAAAAAATTCTCTTTCTGCCATAGAGCAAAAATACACTCAGAAGGAACTAATGACCTCTACAAAATGTCGCAAACAGTTCTTGGCCTCATCAGTGCATTACCTGAGTACTACTTCATTCTCTCTGTGTAATATTCTATGACCACTTCCCGTCTCTTAACGTCTCCTACAAAATGTCGTGATCAGTTCTCGACTGCATTAGAACACCTTTGTATCAAACCAACAGTTTCCTTCCTCTGCGGTGGTTCGAAGAAGAAAGAAATTCTTCTACAAAATATCATATTCATACACCGGTCATCGACTTAATCATTCCTCAATCTATGCATGCAGTGTAGCAAGAGATTCACATGATGCCTTCTTTTATAATTAAATACTTCAGTCACAGAGATAACGATGGTTTACATTTTCAAACATAACGCATACAACGCTTTATACCTCTTTTGATATGATCGTTATATGCCTTAAATCTTCAGGAATTTACAGAAAGCGCAGAAAAAGCGCAAGTAGATACCCTAGTGCAATATCGACACGCGTTCTTGTTCCGCAGTTCCGAAATTGGTAAGTTGGAGGCCCTTTTCGTGACTGTATGTACAAGGAAGTGCAAACCCAAAACAATACTCCTCTCTTCAGTTGAAAGCTAATGGTAAATGGTTTTGTGGTCTCCAAGTGGGATACCCCACACCGTTTAATGAGACACTGCATGTAACTCGTGTAAAGCTTTTAGTTTTCAAAATCTAATCGGAACATTGGATTTGTGGATGTGCACGTAAGTGAAGGACGTGTTTGGTCATGTACAATCACAGTTCTTTACAAGGCCTTTCTCAAGGGCGCATTCACAGAGTTTCATGGTATTTTAATTATGAATACTAGCGCTGCACAGGGAAAGTCTCAAGAACAATTATCACGACAGTGACAATCCTGCACGATCACTCAATGTATAACTTTAATTTGCTATTCAGCATACTAAAATATATGCACGCCTTTGTATGAAATTGCTTGCAACGAAATACAGTTGTCATTCTGGTAGCTCTCAAAAAGGAATAAGTAATCAATGCTTTTGACAGTTGTGGTTCTCACAAATTGATTGATCATAACTGAGTAACGCGCACATTGAAAAGACCCTCAGCAATGGAGAGAACTAAGTGCTACAGACCGAGGCATTTACGTCAGCAAGTTTGCCATCGGGTTTAGATTCTTAACACTTCTTTTAAGCTTTATACGTAGGTGGTAAATATTGCACGAATACCCGGTTGAGGCGTTTTGGCTTTGTAATATACAAAACAAAGCTTTATCTCTGAAAGATTAGTCACGAGTGAACTGCTGGGCCGGGTGCCAACTGCTAGAAGGAAGCTCAGTCCAGACTCTTCATAGGTCTTCATGAATGAAACTTGTGAACGTAAACCAAAACCAACTAAGAAAGAAGCTGATGTTGACCCAGGGATAGCAAACGCATAGAGATACATTGCAGCATGCAAGGAAAGAAAACACCCCGTGACAAACCACGCGCTAAAAGCTGTACATGAAAAACTCGGTACAGGCTCAGACAGAACTGACACGAGCTGTTGACCCCGGCAGTGATGGTGGGAGCACATTAGAGAATTGATACTTTGACGATCGAAATACACGCGTGATTTCCTCTTCTTTTCCTAGTCTTTTAGGAAACAGTATTTCTTTGTGTTTCTCAGTATTGAGTAATAGACGTTCTTGTGTTCTTACATTATTTTTTGTTCTCACAGACTTCACTCGTGTTTCCACAATACGACAGAAACACGAAAAATGGCCCTCTGTTTTTTTTTTTTTTCCAAACTAATACAACAAGGTTAAAGCCGAATCGATAATATCATTAATGACTGCGCTAAATGAGATGCCGGTATTATATAATTTGTTCGTTGTATTTCTAACGTCTTCGTTTGCGTAAAACATACAGATATAGTGGTTGATCGACAGCCGCGCGTTTCAACCGGAAATGCGGTGAAAGTTGAGCGGCGACAAGTGGTTTGTTTTACACTCTTTTTCGTTTTTTTTCTTGGTACAGAAAGACAACAATATCGTCGGTTTCACTGTAAAGCGACGGGACTCATTGAAAATGTAAAAACTTGTGTCATGTTTACACTGATTTCAGACCATTTCACAACAAAATGCAGCCATTCGTCGTACAACCTTAGCCGGTCATGATAATGGCAAAGTCCACAGGTCTCGAGAAAGCCGTGTTGTGTTTGTAGTCTGCATAAGATCTGAAGCACAATACACCTGTAGCCTGACACGGTATTTGCATTATTTTATGAAATGATCCTTCTCAGAACCAGTTAGGTTTGTTTACCCAAGACTTTTAAGTCAATCACCAAAATTCTCAGGGAGGTGGCAAAACTACCTCCTGTAACTGTTTTCCTGACCAGTGCAATAAGTTATATAATTTCTTACTAGATAATTATATGCGGATGCATCACTGTGATGCCAGCTGCCACGGTATTTTGAGTATTTTTGGCTGTGTACAGTGATCTTTAAATTGAAGGTAAGAAAAGGGACAAAGAGATTACAATAATAAAGCATAAACGAACACGGATGATCAAGGATGGAGACGATTAACACGGATTACCTACTACGAACTTGAAAAATTTAGCCTAAACTTTTCAAGGTGCGCAAACCATGACGTAGCTTCTTTAATCCACCGTGGTTATTACTAATCCCTGTAGTGCCTTTTTGTGCTCACTGATCACGTTGCGTCAGACTCAGCTCTCGACTCACCCCACCTGAGATATGCTTCGGTTATTTCCCAGAGAACCAATCAAATGAGATCAAATAACGTATCTGCTTTGCACCTCTTGAGCACTTCAAACTTACGGTTTTGTTTGCTTTACGTATGTAGCGCGTATTCTTTGTTTTCAGTGACACAAGCACTTCACAATTCCATAGCTACAGTAACGTTGGGTATTGGACGTGCGGTATTCCGCATTCCTTATATTAATGGCATTTCCGTCATCTATTACCCATGCCATTAAGATCAACAGACGAGGAACAAGTGCAGGAATAATAATAGAACATTTATTCTTTCCGTTTTCTATATGCAGTATATATACAAAACCATTACATCGATACAGATCATTCTTCTGTATTTACAAAATCCGTTCTAAATGTTTGACTGAATGTCTAACATTGCATCACGCAGTTTTACTATCCTGAGCCTTCATCATCGCTAGCAGTAGCTACAGAAACAAAATCTTCATTCACTCCCAGTCTTAATTTTCGTAGCATTACTAAACTTATTTGTTCTTTGAAACATTTCATCGACAAACCAACGACTACTCCGATAGAGGGGAGTAAGGTCAACGTTGCTGCCAAGATTGTACTCGGTGCCGTGTTTGTTAAAATCACTCGAGCGGGATTCCTTGAATTGTGATAACATTCGTAAGACGAGTTTCTCGAGCCCCATCTTTCGCTAAAGCTTTTGACATGTCTGTAAACGTCATCCGTGGTTCCGCAGTCGTAGTCTCTGAGTTTGTACGAACATTCATCGGTGATTCGTCGTCGATCTTTCACAACTAGAGCCTCACGTAAGGATGCGTTGTTGTATGAAACATAAATCTGTAGACAAGGATAATAAATTATGCATTTTGTGTAGCTATTTCGTCCAGGGCAATGGCACTGAAGTCGTTTGTCGGGATCTGTGATTAATTTTGTTGCCGTGACATTGCAGAATTCCATTTCGTATTGTGCACTCTCAATCTTTGGTAGAGTCACCAGAACCAACACAAGGAGGAGAAACAAGCTTGAGGATACAAGAACACTCCTCGCAAAACGTTCTACCAGCTTAATATTTGTCGCTTGCTGCCGCGGCCAGTTGACATTCAATCGACTCATAATCCTTACAATCTTGAAACTACGAGGCTGCGTTCCAACATTCCGAAAATTCTCTAGGGTAGGATTACCATGATTTTCCCTGTGTAAAGACAAAGATGACATTTCAAACGCGGCTTCTAGACGACATCAACATATTTTTTTCTTATTTGAGCATGTTTACCAACCGAGTCGAAGTTGATGTCTCTTTTGACTTGCCGAAACCTGCCCACTATCCACCATCTTGACTGACCCACGCATGAAATACGAACCTGACTGTAAAGCAACACTGTTGCGTTAGTCTATGATGATTCTATGATGTTTGAGCAAGGCTTGTTGTTCGTGACGAAATGTCGGGATTTAATTTCAAACTTTTGAAAGAAAGGCAAAAAGCGTCTCCTCCTTACTCACGAACATTACAGTTCAGGGTTAACTACAGATAGACACGCAGGACACCCTAAAGGTAGACAAATCCTCACTACATATAATATAATTGTTTAATCGATCAAATATAAATAAATGATTTTCATGACAGACATCAGCAAAGCTTGCTAAACTTTGAACGACAACAATGATAGAGCATATAGACAGACTGGGCCACATTCTCCTGACTAAGCTGCGCACGGCTAAAACAGATCCTTTTTCCAAGGCACCACTAGCCTTCAGTTTAAACAACATAACTGCAAATTTCAATTTTCCTTTTACTGTAAATTGGTTAAAAAAATAAATTATTTGCGTCTTTCGCGGCGCACGTTAATGACAGGAAGAAGAAGGAGAACTGAACTTTATAAATTAGCCGGGTGTACCTACCCTGCTCACCACAAAAAATGAAGCCCGCTTGCGTAGCTTACAGGTGCTCGTTCTTGCATAACCAACTGGCGCCGGAACGACACGTACGAAACCAAAATGCGGATTTTTCAATTTTATGACTAATTTCCTAGCGAACCAGCCACCATATAGAGCGATCAGCCTATAAATCGTCAATTTGTAAGGAGCCATTCGTAGCTCTAACTTAGGCGTCTGACGCTAAAAACCAGACATAAGAGAAATCTTTGTAGGTGGAACAGCCGTTTCTCTATTTTAAGAAATCAGTAAGCTGACCTACTGCAGTGGCTCATTTTAGTTCATTTAGTTCAACTTTTTCAACTCATTTTAGTTCAACTCTATTTGTTAAGAAATAATACAATTCAAGGTTACCGTACTTATAATTTACGTCGCCTCTATGGCGAAATACAGCCACCTGCAGCTGGGTTACCATGGTAAAAATGTTGATTTGGAATAATGTATGGCTCGCTTTTATGCATCATGCATATACAAACAAAGTTGTACAGAAGCTGTTCACCATTGAACATTGATATAAATAGAGACTTGGACATGGTTGGACAGTAACAATAACATAGTGCCACTATATATAATTTGCCAACTTAACATCAACTCAGTACCAACAAATCTGATCATTTTATGAATGTGTTACTTGCTCTACTCTCCAACTAACTGAGTTCCGCTTGGATTCATCTTATTCCCCGCTCACTCGAACACAAATAAAGGCGAAACTGAATACTGAGAAGTAGTCACGAAGGACGAAAGACGGGTTTAAGCGAATGCGATATATTTAAACAATCGGCAAAAAATTAAGCGTTAAAAGCCTGAAAATAAAGTAAGTTAATAACATGCGAAGCCACGTATACTAGGCCCCACGACCGATGGTTATTCCTGTCAATCTTTTTAATATTCAGTGTCCTGCATGTTGGATGAAGAGCAGGAATGAAAATAATAAAAAATGTTTTTGTTTGGTTGTCGGTTGGCTCGTTTCACCAGACAGAATGCGAAAAGTCTTACCGTAAAGAGCCAATCAGGCTGATAAAGGATTTGCTTGTTGCGATTGTGGGGTAATTTGGGGCCGTTATAATTCACCCTTCGAACGATTTATGAAATTAATATTACCAAAACATGTTGCATCGGCAATAAGGCACACGTTCTTGACCATGACTACAATGTAAGATGTAAAATCTAATTTGTAAAATCTACAACATCAACTGACACAGCATTGCCTCGAAAAATCGGTAAAAAGCGGAAAAAACTCACCTCGGTCGACCATAAATTCAGTGCTCCTCGCGTGAATATTTAAATTCGATTTCCTTTTTTTCCTACGTCAACAATGAAACGAAAACACGAGAATTTGGCTTGTTAATTAAACTCCGGGCTGAAGACACTAGAGCTACATAGATCTTTTGGAGCCATAAACCGTCGATTTTTAAAATTCTCGGACGCGGAATGATCGGCAGATTTTTAACATCAACCTATCGTTCGCATTGACGTGTAGTTTGCCGTAAGGTTAGCAGTGTTATGGAAACAAATCTGAGTGATCTGTTTTCTTCTGACAACGAATATGATTGAAATCAACGCGCTGTTAACATAAATTTGAAGAGTTTCTAATTTAAACCATTAATGTGCAAATACATCGGTCCAAACATCTGTCACTGTTGGCATTCCCAAGACTTGTTTTGCGTTTCCCTTAGAAACAAATCTTCTGTCTCTTTTAATACGGAAGCTTTAGTGACTTTAATCTTACGGAAGCATACACTGAGTTGGAGGCTACAAGCATTATCATGGCGTTTTTTTCGCCTTTGCTCGTACTCCTCGTACTTCACGGTGCCTTTCGGCTGTTTCTTTTTAGCTGTGCAAGTTGGCTCGCAGACTGACGTTGTAAATTGTATTTAAATAAAACAATTCTTTTAGCAATTTCATATCCAGTAAAGATATACTGAGACCTGTCGTTGAAGAGTGCTTTGCCCTCATTCGGATTGGAATTGTAGCATTAGACTAGTCTGAGGGACTCTCGGCATATAAAATCGGCAACTGGGCTGCCCTGGATAGCGCTACGGAGTTTGTGTTTTGTTTTTCTAAACCCTTCTTTCACAAAATGTGTTTAGTTTTGTTCTATTCTCCGGGTTGTATAGCTTGCGAGCAAGCTCAAGTGTGTGGAGCGAGCGGCGAAGCCTCGAAAAAAGTGAGCCCACTCTTTTGACGCTTCCGCACCAGACTCCTCCCCGCCGAATCGCTCGCCGACTGGCTCTCTGCACGCGGGTGTGCACGCGTGACTCAAAGGTGAGCCTTATCGCAGGCTAGGTTGATACCATGGATAGTAAAGAGACCCAGTCTTCTACTATTCATGGTTGATACGTAAGGTACAACTTTTCTGGCCAAAGAATAGTTGATAAAGCACCAGAGCTTTATATAAAAATCATTTCAGAATTCTCACCAGAGAACGGTTCCGTCAGCTTCTGAGCAAAAATTTGGAAGTCGATGTTGTATCTCTGGCGTGCAAAATAAACTGATTCATCTACTGAAACTAGTAGGTAATTGATCCATGGCACGAAGTCATAGTTGTTTGCCTACGTTGTGGTTCGTTTATAGTGAAATCAAAGAATGTGATTTTCTTTTTTTTTTCAGATGCAGTGCATGTGTAACATCAAATTGCCTCAAGAGATGCCTTGAAAGACTTATCCAATTAAGCATGTCCTTCTTTTTAAAGCTCGGATCGCTAGTTGTAATTTCCAGAAGGAAAAAATATGTATAAAATTAAAGGAATGATCTGTTTGCAGCAATTAATGAAAATCTCGGTGTTGATTGCTAAGCTACTTTTAGTCAATTGCGAGAATTTTATGCAGGAAAACAAAGAATGTTCTTTTTGCTTTTCAGTCAAATTTAATAATTCCACGAAAAGGGTTTAATTGAATAGGTGGGTCTAAAATAATTTTACGTTCCTCCCCCTCTCTTGACACCTGAGTTATACCTCAAGTTCGCGGATCGCGGAATGCGACTGCATGAGAATGCCAGACAGAGTAAGGTTTTCACGCATGCAAAGCTTTTTCCAGGGAAGCTCAACCTTTGTGGAAGTACTATCTCTTTCTCTTCCCAGGGTAGGCTCTTATATATATTACTCGCGTATGACGGCAAGGGGTAAAACCAAACTGACTGGCTGTCGGAACAGTTGCATGTGACGACCAGGTGGTCAGATCACGTGGTGAATAGTAACAAGGTTAACTGAATTTACCGCCACACGTTAAGATCAAATGACTAAAACTTAAGTATCACTTAACACAGAATTCAATGAATTACTGTGTCAGAACATCAAGTGCTTTTCCACTTCAATCCCAGTAAGGGTCCAGTAATAATATTTGCCTTGCAATCGTTTGGAAATTGAAACAATACCGGTGACACTCTAATTATTAACCAAAATACACTCAGCTACTGTAGAAAATAATTATAATTCGCTGATCTTGTCAAGTATTAGTGCATAGAAGGGCACGATGTCTCAAGCATAAATTTTGCATTACGAAACAACTATTACGAGATGGCTCCAGTTTGGAAGCACTGGCTGATGATATCCCTAGGAACTTCCCTTGTCTACGGTCGACCCAAAGGTTTGTTTTGTTCTTCTTTTCTGATTTTGCTGGTAAGCTCAATGACTTGCTTCCATTGTCTTTACTGTTTGAACGAAGCGTTGCTAACTCAGTGGCAATATGATTCTTTTTCCGATTATATTATCTAAAAATAATAATTCTCCGCGGTCGTAACTACAATTTAAGAAAAATATTGACTAAGCAAAAGCTGGCTTCACACCTTGATATTAAACTGTTCAGTTTTCATTACTTTTGACACTTATTTAAGCACAAAGCAATCACATCTCATTGAAGCAGTTTGTTTATATAGATCATGATTTTAAAACTTGTCATGAATGTAAGAACGCAATTCTCATCTGGCAAAAGGAACAGGTAACTGTTTACATAAGGTTAACGAATTTAAAGAGTCCTTAGCCAGACGTTTCTGTTTACAAGATAATTATACAGCGCTCATCTTTGAAGTCATAAAATGAGTTTTAGACAGAGAGAAGCCAAGAGACAGAGAAGGTAATGAATTTGTGAACTGGAATCTAGGACAGAAAAAAAAAAAACATTTTCACTGATATGCCCGAATGATTCTTGACAAGCGTAGCTGGTCACCACTGTAAACATCAAATTGCCTAAAATCGATTGCACACTTGAAAACGTATTCTTGGAATACGAGAATTTTCCTCACACTCCAAATTAAATTCAAGTTAATTGGGAATTTGTCTTTTCAGTCTTTTAGATTAAAAAAAAAAAAATTAAGTAAACTTTCTGCGAAAAAATTCACTCTCGGTCATACTTTTTCCATCTGTGTTATCAGCAACGAAGTAAACATTACTTAGTCGCTCAATTAAGCCAGTAGTGTAGCAGCTCTCGTAAGCTTGTAATTCTATTTGTCGTCATTGTAGCAGCTGTTATTGTTTTGGGGCTAGGGGGCATTGTTTCTGTTGTTTGTTCTATTCCTCTCTCAAAGCGTTTCAAGCCATTCATGTGAGACCTTAAGAGAGCTGCAACATTACCCAATGAACCTCTAGTTAACCAATTTGATCAACGGTTTCACGATTCTAGCTATCGGTTTGAATTTTTAAATGCCCCCAACGGTCACGGGGAACGAGAGATCACGATCATATATTTCAAGGGAACAAGGGATATTTGGAAAACTTTGAGGGAGTAAGGGACATCTCTATAATATTAGCGAGAACTTTGGCGAAAAGTTTCAGTGGAACAAGGAAACAAATGCTCAATTTCACCTCA